TGCTAAGGGAAAGGCTTTTCTGTCCGTGCTGGATATTAATTTTCTTTATCTTCAATAAGTTTGTGATGGTTATCCTACACCATGGTGTGTAATATCAGACCTCAAATCTAGCAATTCTCTGCTTGAACCAGTTGGATAGTACTACAGGTACCAAATCAACTTAGCTTATATACAAAATTCTTTCAGCAGGTAAATTTTTCTGATTATGATGAGGAAATTTCATGGAACATCTATCTTCTCAGTTTATAAATAGAACATAAAGTATTTTAATTCAATAGAAACAGATATGATATAGTTTATTTTTAAAAATTAGAGCTTTTATAAGTATGAGATAACAAAAGATGAATCAGAAAATAGCTATATACCATACTTATGAACGCTAATGGGTATGTCCTAATCCGCATAGAGCATATATCTAGCAGTGGTTTACCTACTTCACGCCGCTGGTGAGTATTGTATTTTGTTGATGTCATAAAGGTTACCATTTCATTTCCAATCTCCGTTTTGGTTATTCCTCATTCAGTAACCTTTTCTAGATGACAACAGATTCTAAAGTAATTCATAATCTATTAATTTATTATATTTTACAGACAATGGCATATGATAGTGGAAAACAGTATATATAACACAAGTTGAATATTAAAATCATTTTTGGTTAATATTAATATTGATTCCTGGATATACCTTTTATAACACTCAGTGTAGAGTGTAAGAACGTAAATTAAGAGATATTTAAAGATATCGGGCATGTTCTATTGTTCTTGGAATATTTTCATTTAAATGTTCTCTTTAACTACATTACAATGACATATATAGGATGTTCCAATAACTTGGACCAATTTTAAATGGGAATGAAGTTTAAGCGGCTAATGATATTTCTTTTTCTTTCAGATTTAACAACTTAAGCTTTTGGCAATTTCAACCATGGAAAGGTTAACAATCAAACAACGTGTTAAAGATGTGGAAGCCGATTACCAGATATGTTTTCTTCGGAATATTGTTTATTTCATTTTTTGCTGAGTGGTATTCATGGAATAAATTTCAATTCTCTAGAATTGACTCTGTTGCATACCGTACATATGAATACTAATGGGTGTCTCTTAATCCACATAAAAATGTTGGACACTATGGTAAGTTGGGGGTAATATGCTGTCTAAGTAGTCCACCACAAGCAGTGGTTTACCTACTTCACACCGCTGGCGAGTATTGTATTTTGCTGATGTTATAAAGATTACCATTTCATTTCCAACCCCCGTTTTGGTTATTCCTCATTCAGTAACTTTTTCTGCGTTTCAATAAAAATCATTCAAGCCAACGTAAAAGTAAACATTTTAATAAAAGAAAACAAAATCGAATTTAGGTCAGAAAGAAACCAAGTGGATTCTTAATAAATTTGAACAAAAAATGTCAGAATAATTTGAAACGTTTGTTTTTCATCTAAAAAAATTTGAATACTTTTTTAAAATTCAGCAACCTTAAAAATATCACTAAAGTGTGAAACAATTTTTAAGAGAATTTTCGGAAATATGATAGGGAGTAAACCAAATTGCAGAAGGTGAACAGTGAGGAATAGAGCAAGTTCTCAAGAATTCTGGTAAAAAGCTTACTTCAACTCATTAGATGTGGCTTTGACCATTTTTAGAACCCAACTGGCACATCATTTTGCTGTGTTTTGAATTTTCTTTTTTTTTTAATTTTTGGAAAGACATGTTTTTTAAGATATAAAACAGCTGATCGGGCATTATGGGTGTAAGAAGATATGGGACTTATAGTCAAAATGAAAAGTTAACATAAATCAGCGCAAAAAGGCTGCCATATAGATATGTGAAGCATGTATCTATTAACATGTGTAGGCATATATGCCAAAATGTGGAAAAGAATCTATTGAATAAAACAACTGAATATATAGACTGGGGTTTTCGCTTACAAAAAGGCAAAAAAACATGACAAATCAATTTTTCAATTATTAGTTCTCCACAACTTCTTACTTGAAAACTGAACACACATTTGGTAAAACATTTTTTTTATGGTGGTCAAGGGGTTGCACACACAAAATAATTATAATAGTGGTTTTAGGGATTTATTCAGGATTATCAAAATATTGAAACAATTCAATCAAATTTACTTCAATTTAGGTTTTGAGTGTAAGTATAGGACATAAGAAAGAGGTTCAAAATAGTGAAGAGATGAAAAGACAAAAAAGAAAATGGGGGGGAAAAGACATAAAAGAGAGAGGGCAAAATGGAAAGGACAAAAAGACAAAATGGAAAGGACAAAAAGATAAAAAGAGAGGAGACAGAAAGAAGACATAAAAGAGAGTGGAGAAAAAGAGAGAAGACAAAATACCAAGTAGAGGGAGATAAATAAAACAAAGGAGGAAGAAATTTTCTAATTTACATATAATAAACTTGGTTGGATATTAAAAGCTGAAAGCATAACAAGATCTTTATTGTCCTGCATTAAATTCTGCCCAATATTCTGGTGTCATTCCTTTTAATTCATTAATTATAATTTAATCCATCAACCAAAGATTCCCAGATTTTCAAGAATTTGTCTCATTCCAACATTCTAGAAACTAATATCTGAAACTTGATGAGCTATAACCAAAGTTATTCATTAGTGATCAATAAATACTGAAAAAAAATGAACTTATAAAGTGCAGAGATTTCAAGAACATAATAAGTGAAACATTGGCATCTGTTATTAAATACACTGCATATCAGGAAGGCTTTTAAAACTATATCAAAAATATCAAACACTTTACAAAATAAAAAACTATTGCAAGTAAACTGCTGTTAACAGAAGAGTGTATACAAAGAAAAAGATCAGATGTGAAATATTCATGCATATTAGTTTTAAGGAAAATATGATTTCCAAGTGTTAGAGGAAGGTGTAATGTTTACCAAATTTTTAAATAAAGGGTTTTCCAATAACTTGGATCAATTCTAAATATGAATTAAGTTTAAGCGTTTAATGATTTTTTCTTTTTCTTTCAGATTTGGCAGACATTTGGGCGATATTTTTTTTTTACACATAATTGCCATGACTTAAATAACATGATCCAATAGAGAAATAAATAAATTTTAACCAATGACACTGATTTATTTACTGCTGACTTTGATCCGTCTTAATGAAACACCCTTATACATAATCTGTCTTAATGAAACACCCTTTGCTTTGTCACTGGACAAAATTTACTTAAATATTAGTTTTTCATGATAAATTTACATTCAGGATCATGCAACCTACCTCTTTTCCCAACTACAATTGCAATGAGGTATATTTAAAAATAATAGCAACAGAAAGTTGCATAAAGTCAACTAGGTTAAGTATCTCGATATATTGGACATAAAAAATTAAAAAATTTAAAGCTAAATATCTTTACATCTTCAGTTTTTCTCATTGTAGAATTGTAACCAACATTTGTTGTATTTCATCATCCCCTACTTATATATACTTATGTATTTATAAGATTATATATATACATCATTTCCTACATATATAAGATATATAACATTATATATATACATCATTTCCTACATATATAAGATGTATAAGATTATATATATACATCATCCCCCAACATATATATGTAAGATTATATATACATACATCATCCCCTACATATATAAGATATATATAAGATTATATATATACATCATTCCCCAACATATATATGTAAGATTATATATATACATCATCCCTACATATATAAGTTTCCATCAATATGACCATTATTAGTCTGAAAAATTACTTTTGAAAGATGAAATGCATAAAATAGTTCTTTTTTCATTTATCATTCAATTATCTACTTAAATATTACAATATAACAACACATCACAACTCTTGGAAATCATACTTTCCTGCAAACCAATGTTTTTATAAATGCATTTATTTTTTAAAAAAGATTGTTAGTTGCAAAAGTTGTCATTAAGATGACAACTTTTGCAACTAAAAATCTTTTTTTAAAAATATTATTCATTTTTTTTTTTAAATTTCATCAGGGGTTTCTACAAAATTATTCTGGTTTCATGGTAATTGTTTAATTAAATATTTTTAACATTTATTAAATGTCAACATTCTGCACCTATCTCCAAAATATGCATAATATTAACAGGGTCAAATAATTATATATATATATATTGACATACAAAATATATAATATTCATCTATGTATAATGAACTGAACTGAAACTTTCCCCCCACCTCTGCACTCACACGCAGACATATCTCAATAATTCCCCCTCACAGTCAACACCTAACTTATCGTAATTCATGGATCATGTGTAAAAAAAAATCTATGGCCAAGGTTAGGGTTTGGGTTAAGGTTAGTTTTTTTTTTTTCTTTTTATTCTTTTCTTCCTTCTGAGCACAGCCATAATTCATTACCTTTGATGTACCATCAATGGCTTTGATTAGGGCTTTACAGCTACATTCTCTGAACCCTCCACCCTTGCGAAACACCCAAAATAGCCTAGCACTTACTACCCGGAGTTTATATAATTAGGCTTCTACCTTTGGAAACAGTTACAAACAATATTATTCAAAGAATTAGAAGAAAAAAACTCTTAAAGTATTTTTTCGTCATCATCTTTTAATTTTAAAACAAGGACAGAACATAAATACACCGATTTAGTTTAGTACATTCATAACAAAAAAGTGAGTAGAGGTTTGTAGTTAGACACTACTAGTTACATACTAAATACATGTTAAGGTAAACATAAGTAGTTGTAAAAAGTCAAAAAGTTTAAAACTAACATTTCGAAGAAGTAAAGAATTTTGAATCATTGAAGATTAAGGTGAAAAATAACAACGTCTCTTTTTAGTGTATGTGTGTGTACAAGGTTTTGGACAGAAACTCTATTCAACACACATGAAAAAGTTGAAATAAACTGAGTTGGGGTCCAGTAAGTCTAGTAAGAATAGTTTTTTTATTTTAGATTTTGTTTTTTTTGTTTTTTTGTTTTTTTTGTGGCGGGGAGTTATCATTATAGACTTACCTTGGTCAGCTGGGCAATCTTCTTGGACATCTTATGATGCATGTCGTGCGTGATGTCCACATCTTTACTGGAGCCATGGGGCAGGGTAGCAAATTTACCATTCTGTTGTTGGTAATAATTGGAGTAAGACATCCGAGCGCTGCTGGTCGCCATCTTTTTAAAGCCAGACACAGTCACAGAGAAATAAGTTTAAAAAAAAAAAAAAAAAGAAAGAAAGAGAGAAAGAAAGAAAGAAAGAGAAATTAATGAATTACTAGAAACATTAAGTAAGAAGAAACTTCAAAGTTGGGGTGGCAGGGATAATCCTGTCTCGGGGATGTTGTTTTTAGTCTCGAAATTTTAAAGAAAATATTTGCTGTATATGCTTTGGTTAAGGATTTTTTTTTTTTTTTACTTTTTTTTTTTCTTTTTCCTCATCTACTCTGGTAAAAAGAAGGGTGTCGTATCACACCCGGCCTTAGAAACACGAGCACTTGATATTTTTCCCCCTCTTTATCTCTCTTTCCCTCTTCCTCACTGATGTAAAGAGCAAAACTTTTTTTTTTTTTTTTAAGTGTGCACAGCGTACCTCTTGGGTTGAAACTGAAAGAATTCATCAGTTGTTAGGGATGATGATGTTAGCTGTAGTAGTAGGAGTAATACAGATTATGAGGAACCTCTTGGTAGCAAAAAAAGAGAGAGAGAGAGAAACATTGCTCTTCTTGGCTTGTGTCGGCCGTCAATCAAAATGAGGGTCGATGAAGCGGTGGGGGCAGGGAACCGAGTGAGTGTTGGATGAATGAAAAGAGGATGGGGTAGGGGTAATAAAATCGTTAAATTATACATTTCTTCTTCTTCCTTGTTGGTTTCACTACAATTAGTTTTTTTTCTAGTACTTTCTTTCTTCCTTTAGTGAATTCAGTAATTTATTTTGATATCCACCCGAAGGAATTTAGATTTGACAATGTAACTTCAATATTTAAAGATGCTTTACATTTCATTTAAAATTAAATGGAAAGGCGATTATTTTACGGAAAATTGATTCACTGGGAGCACAAGAGGAGGAAAAAAAACTAAATATAGGGAAAATTAAAGACTTTTCAAGGGTACTTTTTTTTTTTTTTTTTTTTAGATGTTTTTTATCTTTTTAGAATTTTAGAGTTCTTTTTTTCTTTTTTTTTTTTTCACAAAAAAATAAGGGAGAATAAAATTTTACTTACTTTTATTTTTATTTATTTTATTTACTTTTGTTTTACTATAGTTCCCTAATATCATGTTTAAAAGAAGCCAAGGGGGGATTTATTCCCTAAAAACTAAAATCAATCAATAAGCTAAGCAGAAGCTGAAACATCACTTTTCATGATCGATTCATTTTGCCATTTGAAAAATTGCCAATTATTGAACAGGAAAAAGGGAAATAAACAATATTTTATTATTGTTTTTATTTTTTTTAAAATCAATTTATTGAATTAAAATCGATTTCAAGTTTATTCTTTTTCGGGTTCCTACAATTAAAATTAAAATAAAATTAGAAATTAAAATAAAATTAGAAATTAAAATAAAATTAGAAATTAAAATAAAATTAGAAAATTAAAATAAAATTAAAATATATTGCGTACACCAACTTTTAAAATTCCATAAACAATATTAAATAAAAAAAAAGTTTTCTTTTTATTAAAATATAAAATAATTTTTTTCTTCAAAAGAAAAAAATAATTAATAATTAATTAATTAATACTTGTCAGGTCTTTTTTAACTTCATAAATTTTGCAAATTTATTAAAATAAAAATAAAAAGTAAAGAGAGATACGAAGAACAAAAAATGTCTGATGAGAAATAGATTTGTTCTTCCCGATCTTTAGTAATGAATATCACTAACCCGGTACGTTGTAATTTTGTAATTCAACTCTCTCCATCCCCTTTTTTAGGTAAGGATTACAAAAAAAAAATTATTAAAATAAATGCATGACTAACCGCAATGAAAAAAGGGGTTGTTGATTTTAAAACCATGTTTAAAGTTGATAACGAGCATCACTAACTCGGCACGTGGCATTTTTCAGACAAGAAGAGTCTGGTTCTTCTTTTATCATATTTTGTTCTTGATATTAAAAAAAGTTGGAGATATTTTTTTTTTTTATCACATTTATTATTATTAACGAGCCTCACCAACCAAGCAACCCCACAAAATGATGCAAAAAAAATCAACTACCGAATATTTTAGTCGTTTTATTTTTAATTAATTTATGAGTTTCATTTTCATTTGTTACACAAAAATAACTACTAACTAGACTGACCGCAAAATAAAGGGGTGTGTTTTTGTTTTTTTTAATTATCTAACTTTTGAATATTCTTTTCGTTTTTAATATAAATATCTGTTAACTAACCTCACCAACCTGGCATTGGGATGGAAAGTGCAGTCATCTGTTGTCTGAGTAGAAACTTTTTTGTTGTTGTTTTCACACGGAAGAAGAAAAACGATCCCAAAGTGTGCAAAATGACGTGATTATTAACAGAGGAGAATCCATTGACATCTAAAAATGTTATCCTTTTTTTAATTATGAAATAGCCAATCGGTAAATTCTATAAATTAATTCACTAATGCCAAGTAGAATTAAAAAAAGAAATTAAAATAATTAAATGTGTATAACAATCCGAAGAAACACGCGACGATTGCTCGATGTCAACTTTGTTGAGTGACAAAATGGCGCCGCGTCGTTGCTTAGCAACGACGCGGCGCGCCGAAAAACGGAATCACATGTCAATAATTGCATTATGTCATACAGAGGAAAATACTTTTTCCCCCCCCCTTTTAAGAAAAAACGTTTTTACAGTTTTTTTGTTTTATTATTTATTTTCTTATTTTTAAACAAAATCAAAGAAATATATCTATACTTAAAAATATTTTCAAAACCTTAAACCCCCCCAAACCAAACACCATATTTTCTGTAAATATTTAAATTTATAAAACAAAAAACAAAAACCTAGACCCTAAAAAACTTTGTATTCTGAATGTTTATTTGTGACGTTCATGCCTAAAACAACAAAAAATTTCCGGGGTGAGGGGTGATTCCCACCGGGCTGTACCTCTTGAGGGGGGCTTCCCGGTGCCCGAGACGTCCCCAAAAGGAGAAGTACCGAAGGGGCTTCTTGGGCAAATGTTTCCACGGTAATTTATGAAATTGAACACGAAAGCATCCGAAGAAACGAATAAATTGCTTGGAACTAAATGATAAGCTATTTAATTACTAAAAAAAAAATGTTAAAAATTTTAAGAAAAACGCTTCTGTTTTTTTAATTCATTGTTTTCTCTCCTTACTATATTTCCTCAACAGTTAACCGCCTTTGAGTCTTAGTGGCTTTATTGCCTTGCTTAGAGTGAAATGATTTTTTTTAATCCTAACGCAACAAGTTATGACAGAATCTAGATGCCCGCTCATCGGTATAAATCTCAGTCAAAAATGAATTGTAAAAAAAAAAAGAAAAAAAGAAAAAAAGAAAGAAAATTCGCATCACTGATTTTACATGTACGAGACAAAAAAAAATAATGTTACCAACTTATGATGCGTATGTTTGAAATTGAAAGGTACCAACATTTTTTACCAGAAAGTTTTTTTTTTTTTTTTTCTCACTAAGAAACATGTTTTACGACTTTGTTGGTATTGGTAGGTATAAAAAAAAGTTTACATTATTAATTGGACATAAACGTGAATGTAGTAGCATAAAATCTCTCGGTTCTGACACCTTTTTCTTTGCAAGGCCAGTAATTCAAAGAAAAGTCGTGTTTTAGTTTTACTGTTAGTTAGTGTTTTTGTTTTGTTTTTTAACTATATGAGCCACGGTAATGTTTGTATATAAAATTTTTAAAAAATGGGAAAAAGTTGAAACTGAACAAAATATTAAACAAGAAGAAGATTGATTATTTGGGAAATGTCTTACCGAGGAAAAAGTAAGTCTGCAAGTGCTGTCTCTGTGGTTCGAACGCAAACCAATAGTCGTTTTAAATCTGAAAACCTAAACAAACACAAACAACAACAATAACATCCGCTTCTTTCTGGTCGGGATTATTAGCCATTCCTTTGCAGCAAATAATGGCGTTTTTTACGCTTTAAAACCAAAAGGAAAACATTATTATTCCAAATGTTGTGTTTTTTCTTTGACAAGCTTCGTATTGGAAATAACTTTTACGTTTGGTTTGAGAAACAAACCGATGTTGATGTGCTAATAAAGCAGCAGCAGCAACAACAACGACGACGAGAAAAACAACAATAATAATAACAACAGCAACAAAAAGAATATCAACAACAACAACAATGACGACGACAACAAAGACACCACTACCAACAACAACAGGAAATCAACAAAATCCCTGGTGCACCCTCTATCCGAGAACCTCACAACCATCGCACATACACACATACAAACACACATAAAAAATAGTTCTTACAAGTACAGCTCGTATTTGTCCATTCCATTTTTTTTTATTATTGTTATTAGCTACCGTGTCTTTTAGTTTTGTTTAAATAAATTGGTTCTCTGTGTCGGGCCAGAAGGTTTTTCTCGTCTGAGTCCATCATTCACATTGTTGCGGACTGGTGATTGTGTTTAAAATTGACCAGAAGGATTTTCGAGGCTGTGTTCTACAACATTCGTCCACAACAATTATTTAAAACAAATACTTGGAACAAATCATGCAAATAAAGTTGAAAACAAGACAAAAGTTGAATGCATAACACTAACATCAATTTATATACAAATTATACAAGTAATCAAGGTTGTTCAAAGTTGCGTACCTGTTTAAGAAAAATGTTCTTTTACTGATACTTGTTATGTAGTGAGAAATATCACTTTGAAAAGTATAGTAAGTGAAGTTTGAGAAAATGTTCTAGAGAGATAGAGTGTGCTCGAAGGTTACCGAGTCAGTGAATATTTTAACGCGGCAAAGTCTGAGTTTTGACTGGAGTATGGTGTGTGGTGTATTGGAAAGTACTCTGCGAATTCGTGAGACTGACTGGCGTGGAGTTGATGGGCTTCTCTCTAGGTGAAGAGGTCTGACTGTATGAAGTTGGTAATTGTCTTTAACGTCTGGTCAGCAATGACTAAGACGGGAATCGGTGAATGTTACATCTTGAAACTTGGTAATTACTGCTCCTCTTCTCTCTTTTGAAGGTTCAAACGTTCTCTGTTTATATATCCACCGGGTGGCTCACTTGAATTTGGCGCAATTTCAGTTTCTGCACGTGAACTTCAAGTGATTAACTATTGGGGTTGTTTGCTTCGTTTCTTGCCGTTTTTATTGGTCGAAGTTTTTGTTAGGTTCTGAAAGGTAAGGATATTGGATGAGTCCACAACATCTACAAATCTACCATTCAACCATACATTGAATACTGTTGCCATATATGGTTTGGTGCCCCCTGCTGTTCATCTCGAAGTTCTCGACAAAATCCAAAGACGGATACGCAATGTGATCGGTCCTGATCTGGGGTCTCGACTCCAGTCACTTTCTCACTGAAATAATGTAGCTTAACTCTGTGTTTTCTATAAATATTTTCATGGCATCTGCTCTGACGAGCTATTTTCACTGGTGCCCCGACTGCACAAATTTAAGCGTGCTACTAGGTTGGCATTTCGGTCCCACCCTTTTACTGTCGAAACAATTAAATGTAACCGCCTCTTCTACTCCAACAGCGTCTTCTCTCGCACTTCCCGACAACGAAACTCCATTCTTCTAACTTGCTTTCCTGATAATTATAATCTTCAAAAATTTATATGTAATGTCAATCGACATCTTCTTTTGCCTTAATCCCCGTTCTTCTTCTTATCATTTCCTCAATCCCACCATTCCCAGTCTTTTCACTTACTTTCACTCTCTCTAGCCGCTTGCGTACTAGTGACACTCCCGCCTTGCTTGGTGTGAAATGCTTATATATATATATATATATATATATATATATATATATATATATATATATATATATATATATATATGTGTGTGTGTGTGTGTGTGTGTGTGTGTGTTAAATTTTCACTGGTGGCCCCACTACATGAATTTAAGCGTGCTACTAGGTTGGCATCACGGTCTCATCCTTTTACTGACGAAACAGTGGCCGCCTCTTCTACTCCAACAGCTTCTTCTTTTCTCGCACTTCCGAGAGTGGAACTCCCTTCTTGCCTCCCTGATAACTATAATCCTCAAAAACTTAAATGTAACGTCAATCGATATCTTGATGCCTTGATCCCCGTTCTTTTTTTATCTTTTCCTCACTTACCCCCACCCCGCCTATGCCCAGTCTTTTCACTTACTTTCACTGTCTGTAAGCCCCTTGCTTACTAGTGGCACGCCCGCCTTGCTTGGGGTGAAATTCTTAAAAAAATTTAATTACATCATTCCTTTGCCAGAGGTCACTGGTTTCGATCTGAATGAATGTGACCAAAAAAAAGTCCTTCCCATTTTTTTTACATCATGTGGGAAGAAATGACCACTAATACATAAATGAGTGCGTCACGTACCGGGGAAGTGAGTCACGTGCCGTGGGCTGTTATTTTTCTTTACCAATGCAGGTGCACTGCGCACATATATCAGTCATAGCTCGAGTAATGGCGAGGAAACATGGCGGTGTCGAAGCAGCTCGTTCGGGGTTGTCTGTTTTATGACTTTAAGGTGGGCTTGTCCGCATCCCCATCAAGTCGCCAAATTCAAGCCTTTGGGGATAATGCTGTCCACCAGAACGCGCCGCCAGACATTGTTTCTAGAAGTTCAGGTCGGGTGATCTCTCCCTTTGTGATGAACCACGCAGTGGTTGGCCACGGGTCCTGCATGATGAGGCTCTGAAGGCGGCCATAGAGGAAGACAACAGCCCAACCTGTGATGAGCTTGCCGAACACTTCCAGGTTTCTAATGAAACAGCCAGACTTCGTTTGCGCCGCATAAGATGTAGAAGTTGAAAAAGTGCGTACCTGACACACTATCGTATGCCAACAATCAACAACGTGTGACAGCCCGTTTTTCATTGCTTTCTCGGCACAGCATTTGATCGAGTGCTCACCAGTGATGAAAGCAGGTCCAGTGTGACACTCCTGAGCGCGCCAGACATTAATTGTCACCACGTGACTCTTTACCTCACACAACAAGACACCCACGCAAGATCATGGACTAGTCGACAAGTGGTGCACTATGATGAGTGGCCAAGCAATGACTGCGGACCTGTACACGCAGCAGTTGGAACGTGTGCAACAGGCACTGAAGCAGCATTGCTTAATCGCACGGATGTACTGTTCCTCGTGTGGCGCGGGTGACCAGGAATGCCATTGAGTGACTTGGCTGGGAGACACTGTGCCATCAGTCTTACTCCTCGGACATTACGCCAATTGATTGCCACCTCTTCCATTCTCTGGACAACCACCTTCGTGGGAAATCCTTTGTAAATGCAACAGGCACTCACAGATTTTTTTGCGTCCAAGACAACTGATTTCTACCGCCAGAGTATTGCGCAGGTGGATGCACAGTGGTAAAAGGTTCTGGATGCCAATGCGGATTACTTTGAGCACTAACGGTATGGCAAATTTGCTGTCTAACTTTGTTCTCTAATAAATCAAAAACGGCAAGGCCTTTTTTGGTTATCGTGTACAGTCTTCTTTGTCGTGGTAATCACAGCGTTCCACATAATATTTCATCGAGACACAAAATAAAGATAGCAATGATTACGCATTACATAATAATTTAATTAAACTACTGACTGGGTGTATATTTATAATAATCTTTGCTAACAGCCATTTCGGCTGAAAGGTCCCATTCTGCAATCTTAACTGTCTTCGTGGTATGACTTTTAACATTTACGGACATTACTCGTTGGTTACCCGTTTTACCTTCCGGTCCAGGAAATTGGAATCATAGTTGTCTAATCACCAGAATTATATGCAAACATGGTATTTTACCACCCCACATATCTAGTAATTAGCCGATTAAGCTAAATTCTTTTTGACTAACAAATTACCACCTCTTCCCTTAATTGAACAACCACCATCTTGGGAAATCCTTCACAAATGAGACAGAATGCAGCAGGCACTCACAGAATTCTTTGCGTCCAAGACACTTGATTTTTATTGCTCGGGCAATGCACAACTAGAGACACCTTGATAAAAGTGTCTGGATGCCAATGTGGATTACATTGAGGACTAACAGTATGTCAAATTTGCTATGTATCTTTTTTTTTTCTAATAAATAAAAAAACTGGTGTTTCGGCCATACAGAGTGTTCCAGAAGTCTTGGGTACATTCCATGTCCTCATATCTACTGAACTATGAACGGTAGTAAGATGAAACTGGTACCATTTTAAAGCTAAATTCATTAAGTTTTTTTGTGATGCTAATGATTTTTTCATATTTTTTCAGATCCAGTAATGGCGTTCACTCAACCAGGAAAGGTGTTTTGCGTCCTTGAATTTGCAAAAACTGGATCATGGACACTTGTTCAACATGCATTTCCCAGGTCTCCAGATCTCATACCCTGCGATTTCTTTTTGTGTGGTGGGGGGGGTGAAATGACTGGTCTATGTGTCTCCCCTTCTAAAAGACATGGATGAACTAAAGGCCTGAATAACGGAAGCTGTTGCAACCATCGACAACGCAATGCTGGAACGTGTTTGGCATGAATTGGACTATCGGCTTGATGTGTGCCGTGTGACCAACGGTGCTCACATTGAACATCTTCAAACATTCCATGTAAAACTTGAGATTAAATTCTTTCAGAATATGTCAGGCGCGTTTTTATATCCTAAATAGTATTCGAGATATTCAATGTCAAAATGGGCCCAATACTTTTGGAACACCCTGTATATCTAGAGATTCTTAAGATAATCCAAAGAAGAATCTGCAATGTTATCGGACTGCCACCTCTGATTCAGTCACTTTCCCACCTCCGTAACGTAGCTTACCTGAGCTTTTGCTATAAATATTTTCATGGTAATTGTTCTGATGAACTTTCCTCTTCAGTGCAGTACTAGATTGGCGGCAAGGTCACATCATTTCACAGTTAACATTACTAAGTTTAACAGTAAGTTCTATACTGACAATTTCACTGTTCGCACTTGTAAAACTCTCTTCCTGTAACACCTATCCTGACCCCAGTGGATCGATGTACCCTACAAGATCGGCCCTTTGGTCCTGTCCTGGTCTAGTATTACAGGTTCAACCAAAGTCTTCGGTTCGCAATGTCGATTCGACTCCACTTTACAGCCACGTTGTGATTTTTTTGATCCTGGAGAGCAATTAACAAATCGTAGATCCCGGAAGATTCAGCTGGACTACCTGCAAGTTCGTGGGCGCCAGAATCGGGCCAAGCAGAAAAATCAAATTTGAACAAGTCGATTCGAGTCCAAAGAAAAAAATATGTATATGTATATAAAGAAGAAATTGGTACAAAAAGAATGATGCTTCTTTTACAAGAAAGTAGTGTATATGAAATAAAGTCCAGAAAAAACAAAAAAAAACAAAACAAAACAACAAATATTGCAAATAATTCTGAAAGGAGAGAAGCAGTTTTCCGGTTCACCCTTTTTGTTCTTAGTAGTTGCCGTAATTATTTCACTATCAGGATATAAGTGGGGGGGGTCACTGGTAGTATTGCGCCAATATTGCAGATAACTTGAGTTCACTTACTCCCTTATTACAGTAGCAAGCAAGCGCTTTCATTCTCACTGCCTATCTCTCGCCCCCCCCCCTCTCTCTCTCTCTCTCTCTCTCTCGTCGAATGCTACTTCGACTCGACTCCGACTGACTCGACTCACTGTTTTCGCACAAACACCCGCTTAAATAAACGCAGTGTGGGTAACTTAGAATACAACCTGATTGCTCACATCTCCCCTTCACGATCAAATGAACAGTCTCTTCCCCTCAATTGAAATTCCATATTTCATATAAACACTATTGTTTTGACATTTTATATTAATAATTCTGACGAAGCACAGATTCTCTGGGCATAAATTTCACCGCCGATTATTCTTCTCATCTATAAACAAAATTCTATATTAACATAATTATTAATATTTCAAAGGTTACCATTGCTCTCTGCCACATTCCGGCTTTCTTGTTAATTAAAATCTTCCATAATTTAAATGCAACGTCAATAGTCATCATATGTCCTCTTGAAACCTATTCTTTTATTGTTCTTTCTCCTCCAATTCGTTTTCTCAGTTTCTCTCACACTCAGTAACCGCCTTGCGTCTTTGTGGCTTTATCGCCTTACCCTGGCTGGGTGAAACGATCACAAACAAAACGACACAAGATAGATGCGAAATTGTTAGCCATATATCTGGCAATTAAACACGTTAGACGTCGACTTGAAGAAAAACAGAAACCGTTAAGTGACGCAATGAACACAAGTGCTAATTAATACGTACTAAGTGAAATTAGACACCTAGATTACATTTCACTATTCTCAACTGACGCACACTGGATGAAAGACTAAAAGAAAATACAGTAGCTGACGCATTCTCACGCACTGATATCACATCAGTTTCTGAAGAGATAATGAGTCACGACCCCAAAGCCGATGAACAGGAAACGGACCCGATACCGCAAGAAGCAAGAGCAAAACACGTCATTAAAACAGTCCTCAGCATTTTGTTTGTTTGTTTGTTTTTTTTTTTTTGTTTTTTTTTGTTTTTTTTACCAAAACAATTTTTATGGGATGTTGTGTTGAACAACTTTAGACTGCGTATTTCTCCCGCACTCAGAAAAAACATATTGGGTTGGAACAAAAGTCCGTAACGTTTTTCAATAGGCAGCGTTTGAACACATGATTTCGTTACACACGTGACTGAAATTTATTATTTCTAAACATATTCTGAAAGGTTACATTTCAGATGAATCTTTCTATGTAATGCCTGTGTGGATTGTGAGTTTAATTTTTTTTCATTAAAACTTAAGTAAAAATGAGATACATTCAGGAGGTTGGCGATCATGGCTCTCCACAATTTCCTGTACTTTGTAGCTTTTAATAAATTCTGTCTTTTTGTTATCTCTCCTAAAACTTGCTCCGCCATCGATTTATTCAAGCTCATCCTTCTTCTTTTTCTACTTGCCGTGTCTATTCAGGAGGTTGGTGATCATGGCTCTCCACAATTTCCTCTCCTTTGTAGCTTTTAATAAATTTTGTCTTTTTGTTATCTCTCCTAAAACTTGCTCCGCCATTGATTTATTCAAGCTTATCCTTCTTCTTTTTCTACTTGCCGTGTCTATTCAGGAGGTTGGTGATCATGGCTCTCCACAATTTCCTCTCCTTTGTAGCTTTTAATAAATTTTGTCTTTTTGTTATCTCTTCTAAAACTTGCTAAACTCAAGCTCTCCTGATAGATTATGCATTGTTTTCTTCTGTTCCTCTTGCTTTCAATCTGTCCTGTGAGCATCAAATTTTCCAAGACCTCTTTCTTCATTATGTGCTCCAGAAATTTCAAACATCTCTTTCTGATGTTAAGTATAAGCGTCCTTTAGCAGCCTTCTATAGAACCACATTTTTTGTTGCTTCAAGTCTCTTCTTCATCTGTGAGGAGATTGTCCAGCATTCACTGCCATATAGGAGGACTGATATTACATAACAGTTCAACACTATTTTTATGTTTCTAACGAAATTTCCTAATACTTTGGTTAGCTTTTTGAAGGCATCATTCACCATCCCAAGGTGCCTTCGGATTTCAGTGTCGCACTTTCAGTCCTCTGTTAAAACACATCCAAGATATTTAAATTCTTTGATTTCGGTATCCTCAATTTATAATCAGTATGTTGTGCAGTTCCTTTTGTTAACGATCATGTCTTCTTGTAATTGGTGTTTGGAAAGGAAAAACGGCTAAAGAGCGACAAGAACTGATCCTATGAAAAGGTTATCACGTTGCATGTAGATGTTATTTTCCATGTGGCCATAGAAGGGAACATCAGTGGTACAAGTCAAAAGTAGTTTTCGTAATATATTACATTTGATTATTAATGGAGACAGAGAGGTATAGTTGTAAATATTCTTTATAATTATATCAATTGTTTCTTTGTCTGGGACATTGGCAAATAAACTTTCAACATCAAGTGAGGCTATGGCTTCATTATTAGGTCTTTGTGGTTTTAAGATTTGATTTACTTCATGAGTTGATTTAATGCGGTATTTATTAGGTATGTACAGTGTAATGAGTTCGTTGATGACTTTGGTTAACTGGTAAAACTCTCTCTCTCTCTCTCTCTATATATATATATATATATATATATATATATATATTTCGACATTCAACATCATCACTTCATAAGACACCAGAGGTGTTGAAATAAAATGGCTATTTTCTAGTGATTTTATAACATATTTATGTTATAATTTTCGAATAAAAATATATATATATATATATATATATATATATATATATATATATATATATATATATATATGGATAGCGGCTTGGATTGAGGAATCGGAGAGCCGATTGGGAAAGGTGTGAATCCTCTTCTTTTCCCTCCAGCTATGGGTAAATAGCAGGACAGACTGGGTTCTATAGCCTTGGATGGAAACTGGTCTAGGAGAAGGACAACTCTGAACTCAAAACCTGTGGAGGGTCATTTGGGGACCTTGTGGCACTTAGTGCACCAGGTCTCTGTATTCGGCCCTTCAGAAAGTGTGGATGGTCCTGCACGAAACCTTCACCACTATAATCAAAATCTCATGTGCCGGTGTCGGGCTCTCGGTTTTCTGGGAATTGATCCCTCATACGTCGAATTCGACGGGAGAGTCGAGTATATATATACATATATATATATATATAACAGTTATTGGTCAGGGATAAATTAAACTCGGAAACATTTGTATTAAAAAGTGCTCAATACACATAAAAATAAAATAAAAAATAAACGGAGCTTTTAAATTTCAAAAATTAGGAGATCAGACAATCACGCTACCATGGTTTCAATCATTCGGTATCCTCAGGCGATAAAGGTCAAATGATTTCCTAACGCTTTATTTTTCATATATGAACGGTCAACATGAAGTTTAATAGAAGCGGAGGAGTAATGTAAGAATATTTAAAATGTATTGAAGGAGAAGTATATATATATATATATATATATATATATATATATATATATATATATATGAAAATGATGTCGCTTTACTGGGCAGTATTTCCGCTATACTGACTTCGGAGTTACGTGGTCACATAGGTATGCGATTACTCTTCAGAACAGAGTTGTACTATTCTGCTGAATTTAATACTATTAACACTCTAACACCGATATTGAGCACTCTACCACAAAGCTTGCTTGCCTTAAATGCCTATCACCAAACCACTAAAAAACCAACAATGAGTAAAGATGAAAGCACGGACAGTCTTATTTTGAGACACTGTAATTTGAGCACAGTATTTTTTTTTCATTTGAACAGGATCTATTGAAAGTTTTGAGAGTTTTGTCCCTATAATCTTGGGAATCCTAAATTTCAGAATTACTAGTCCGGATCCGGCCCGGAATAGTTTTAATTTGTTTACATAGTTGGCCTGATTCCAAAATGGTATGATATGTTGGACTACGGCCTCTAGGAGTGAAATGGAAAAAGTGTAACACAGTGACACCCTGACATTGGCATTTATTATATAAAAGAAGATGAGCTATTGAGAGTTGTGTCCCTTTTTATTGAAAAAGCGTGTCACACTGACATGAATGAGCTATAAATCATTGAATTCGGACCAGTGGGAGCGGAGGAGTTGCTTGGGCACACACACGCACAAACACACATACATACACCTTAATTTATATATAAGATTAGAGCCGTTTGGTGTTGTTGGATTTTGAATCAGGCCACTGAAACTAGAGGGTGTTTATATATATATATATATATATATATATATATATATATATATATATATATATATGCCTATACATGTACATGCATACACAGCCACGCAATCATATACATATATGAAAGTCGTTTTTCTTCATTTTTTAAACGCGTCGTTAATAAATTTTCCAATTTGTCACTTCACTTTTGTTTCGAATACTGTCATACATCCTGCAAGCACACATGTATGTATGATAATAGATGTACGTATGTATATAGATAATAGATATATGTATGCATATAGATAATTAGATAATAATAATAATAATACAACTGAGAAAATAGGAGAAAATTATGAGAATTTTACGTCTTTTGCCTAAATATCTATTACCAATGATCATTTATAAAATCTCTATTACCAATTGACATTTTTCAAAATATAAAGAAAAAATTTTACATTAATAAATTCTTTGATTTGATAAAGTTTATTTAATATTTTTATTAAATCAAGAATAACAAGTTGAAAAAACTGTCATCTCTCTCCATATATATATATATATATATATATATATATATATATATATATATAGTTTTTAAAACAAGGAATGCATTGATCTTAATTTTAAAAGTCTCTAGGGCCCTAGAGACTTTTAAAATTAAAATCAATGCGTTCCTTGTTTTTAAAAATATATGTAAATTTTGTACCTCCAAACATTTGTTTATATATATATATATATATATATATATATATATATATAATCCAAAATCCCCCCAAAATCTAAACCATTCGACAACCTTACATACAGGCAAAGACTAGCCTTAGAGAGCATCCGAAAAAATAATAACATAATTATAAAAGAAGCAGATAAAGGCAGCGCTATAGTTATCATGGACAGAACATACTATAAAACAAAAATTCTAGAAACACTAGAGGATAGGAAC